GAGTTTAATGAATCTACATCAGCCATTTTTAGTAATACACAAACTTTGCCTTTGTGAAACAAGTAGTATGACATAATCCTTTAGAATGTAACCTAGTAGACTTAGTACTGGTATGTACAAAGGCAGAAGTCATTACAGTTAGTGAACAGGACAGTGATTATCTAAAAACCCTCGCATTATCATTAAACCAAAATGTATAATTTCCATCCCATGAATTAAACTGCAAATTGCTTTCACTACCTTAACTGCATATGCATGTTATAGATAGAAGTAATAACTTTTACAATAATGCAATTTATTCTTAATGCCTTTCTTGTTAGTAGTTATCAACAAATACATTTATTACTCATCCAAGATGAAATGTAATACTGTGACTGACAGGGAATCCGTAATATACTGCATGTCTTGTATGAAAACAAAAACATCTGGACTTAATTGCACAAGTGTAACAAAGGGATGGTGAAACTGAGACCATATCACAGTTTCACACTTTCTACCTTATATCAAGACTGATGGGACATTCAGCTCAGATAAAACGGTGTCAAATGATAGGAGCAGTACTCACCCGACAACAACAGTGGTGCTGTGTGTGTAATAGGGGAACAAGAAATTCATATACTCTTGGCTGAAAAACCTCAAGGGAAGAAACAACTTCAAAATCTTAAGCACAGATGAGAGAATAATATTAAAATGCATACACATACAGTCAGTATATTCTGGGGAAGGGATAGGGATTGTAGAAATACCGAATGGTTGCACACTTCTGTCAACATGTTGATCTTCAGGATCTGTAACAGGGAATTTCTTTGGCTATCAAATAACTATGAGGGGCATGCTGTAGCACAGGCGATTGAGGCACTGTGCTAAAAGTTGGAAGGTCACAGGTTCGATTCTTGAGGTCACTGGATTTTTTCCTTCCATCTGCGCTATGGCCCCGGGTTCAACTCAGCCTCTAACAGAAATTAGCACCAGGAATCTTCCGGAGGGGTAAAAGGTGGCCAGCATGCAAGGCAGACAAACTTACCATCTGTGAGCCAACTGTCTAGAAAATGTGGGAACTTCGACATCTCACAACCCTATGGGCCTTCACGGCCTGTTACACAGATAGCTTTACCTTTACCTTATCAAATAACTATGAAGTGCCCAACTAAGACCACACAACATCGATTTCATTCATTACATATAACTTTTGTATATTTTTATGAAATATTCAGGCATCCAAGAAGAGAACCTTTAGGCAATTAGTGCACTAACCTGACTATTTTCTTGTTTACTATTTTAAATGTGTGTTACAAATTTGGCCTTTACAAATATGATATGATGGCATTCGGAATAACAGTTGTTACTGTTTGTCTCGTATACTGGTTTCCAAGCTTCACACAATTAGCAGATCCCATCATGCCCACCCTCCTAACTTTGTGTGTGAACAGAGGAAAGCCACTTCAATTTCTCACTTTTAAAATAAACACATTTTAGATTAATAACATCTAAAAGATTGCATCAATGACACATCAGTACAAATATTATGTTTCAGAACATTATTCATTGTCCCATTTTTATCTAAAAACCACTGTCCTCTTTATTTAAAAAAAAAGTTTCAAAGCCTGGATTCTGTCTGTCTTCCAGTAAAAACTACTCCGTTGGGTCCAATCGATGAAGCCAGTCCCTGTCTCGAGACCCTTTGCAGATAGTTTACGCTGTGCTTGGCTTTTATACCCCATCTTGGTGGTGGTACAGTACACTCAAAGTTACTGTGTTTGAAAGGTTGCAAAGAAACATACAAAACATCTTTCATATTTGGTAAATTCTTCTGTAAGTCTTAAGGTTTTTGAGATAATTGAACAAATTGGATGCTACACATACATTTCCACATTCCTCCATTCAGGAATCATCATGGACTCCCAATCACACCAAAAACTTGAATGATATATCTTTTTTTATTACTGTCTTTTTTCCCTTCAACAGCACGGATAATGGGGAGTATGCTGTACACGAATGGGGAAGCACTAAGCAGTTCATTGAAGGACTTCTTCATAGTTGTTCATAAGTAATGTAATATTATGGCACTACAGTGAACATGAACAGGCACCATTCTTGATATATCAGTGGTAGACAAAGATGACGTCAAATTCCAGCAGAATTGATTCAAGCAGGAGCTGAAATATTACGTTCTAAGATTCATAAATTAATTAACTCTATTTGGAATAAGGAAAATCGCCTGATCAGTGGAGGGAGTTTATTATTGTATAAGCTCACAAGAATGGTGATAAAACTGACTGTAGTAATTATCGTGGGATATCACTGCTATCAGCTTCATACAAAATTTTATCAAATATTCTTCTCTCAAGGTTATGTCCATATATAGATGAAATTATTGGGGATCATCAGTGTAGGTTTACATGTAACAGATCAACTACTGTTTAGATCTTTGCATTCATCAGATACTGGAGTTAGATGAGACAGTACATCAGCTATTCATAGACTTAAAGAAAGCCTATGGTTCAGTTAGGAGGGAAGTATTGTGCAATATTCTCATGGCGTTTAGGGTACCCATGAAACTAGTTAGGCTGATTAAAATGTGTTTGAACTAAACGTATAGTAGAGTCCATATAGTTAAACATTTGTCTGATAATTCTCCTATCCAGAATGATCTAAAACAAGGAGATGCTTTATCGCCATTGCTTTTCAACTTCGCTTTAGAATATGCCATTAGGAAGGTCCAGGAAAACCAGGTGGGACTAAAATTAAATGGGACACATCAGCTGTTGGTCTGTGTTAATGATGTGAATCTACTGGGTAATGATATAAAAAAGTAAAAAGATAAAGTTCCTGTGCTCAACTAATTAAGCACTATGCCATTACGGCATATGGGGGAGTGGATGTATAGATCCACATTTTCTTGACCTAGGCACTAGCAGGAGGTGAGTGGTCAGCTCACACCCCAGCCACTTTACCCCTGGGGAAAGAGCCCCTGAAACCCATGGGATAGGAGGTTGGGTGGACCCCACAGCCGGTCTGGACAACATAAGGAAGAGAAAATTCTTGAGCCCACTGGGACTCTGACCCCTTGGTCATCCAGCCCATAGCTAGTCACTATATCGACTATGCTATCCCAGCTCCTACTGGGTGATGATAAAAGAACAAAAAAAAAAAAAATTTAATTGATGCTAGCAGGGAGGTTGGTCTACAGGTAAACACAGAGAAAACAAAGTATATGCTGCTGTCTCATCACCAGAATGCAGGGCAGGATCATGACATAAAGACGGCTAACAGATGTTTTGAATATGTGGTACAGTTCAGATATTTGGGAACAATGATAACAGATTGAAGCCTGATTCAGGAGTAAATTAAGAGGCGATTGAACTCAGGTAATGCTTGCTACCATTCAGTCCAGAACATTTTTCTTCTCGTCTGCTGTCCAAAAACATAAAATTTAGAATATACAAAACTATAATTTTGCCTGTGGTTCTGTATGGGTGTGACACTTGTTCTCTAACATTAAGAGAAGAACACAGACTGAGGATATTTGAGAACAAGGTGCTGAGGAGAATATTTGAATCAAAGAGAGATGAAGTGATAGGAGGCAGGAGAAAACTATATAATGAAGAGCTTCATAACTTGTACTCTTCACAAAGTGTAATTAGAATGATCACGTCAAGGAGAATGAGATGGACAGGGCATGCATATAAAATATCGGTGGGAAAGCCATAAGGAAAGAGACCATTAGGAAGACCAAGACATAGGTGGGTGGACAATATTAAAATGGTTCTTAGAGAGATAAGATGGGATGATATGGATTGGATTGGATTGGATTGATGTGGCTCAGGATAATGACCAGTAGAGGGCTCCTTGTGAATGCAATAATGAACTTTCAGGTTCCATAAAATGCTGGGAAGTTCTTGAGTAGCTGCTCAATGGGTGGCTTCTCAGGGTGTGCTCATCTCCATAAAGTGAGCGAGTGAGATAAAGACAGGATGAAACGCAACCATATCGTGCCTAATTCACAGACCTGTATCTGTGGTTACACCATTGAGCCACTAATGTCGTAAATGATATGATCTAATTACTTAGTACCACTCTCTGGGATGTGACACTGTGTAGTCTGGTATCTCTGTGTGTTACACACCATCGTCAGAACCCTATAATATCTACTAGTCTGGTAGAAGTTCACAGTGTTTTGGAGGAGCATACTGCCTCCTCTTCAGGGTTGAAGAACAGAGTGTGCTTAGCACACTTTCAACTCTGAAGATGGAGGCAGTATGTTTCTCCAAAACATGGTCAACTTCCACTGGATTACATGGAATCACATCTCAGACAACAGAACTCTTCATAATCACTGCTGTGTGAACCTGAAATCCAATAATGTTACCTAATGCTAATAATTCAGGTAGCTTTACTGACCCTAAAATGATGATTGTTATACACGGTATGTGTGCAATAAGTTTTACATGCATTTAGCTGCTGCTGTTCTATATATCAGTAAAACGTTAGCTCTCTTGAAGTTACGATAAATGCAAAATTAGACATAATTAACTGTACTAGGAAGATTGTTTATCTATCATGGACTTTAGGCTTTTAATTAAAGATTTTTATTTATACAATGGCTGAAGAACAAACCAGCTCTCCTACATACAAATCTTGAAAGAAAAGTACAAAAAATATCGGAAGAGAACATTAAAAATAAAACCCTTCTCTGAGCCTTAGTGTAAAATGGGTCCACCCACTCACTGAGGAATGAGTTTAAAGGACTAGCAAGTTCAGTCCAACCAGTAACACCAACTTAAACAACCAAAAATAATAATAATGGCAGTCCAAAGTAAGGATAAATTCCAGGACACAGCTCCATTTTCTCCAGTAACAGTGTCAGTGGTGCCAAGTCACAAAAGTCTTGAAGGCAGCATCACAAATCCAACTGTCCCAAGCTGCCAAACAACACACATAAATAGTCACAGGTCATTGCACAAACAAGATTATTTTGACACCATGGTTATCTCGCAGCATTGGAGAGAACAGAGAAGTGTCAAGGAAACAGTTCCTCACTGCAGTGGTGCTGGTTGCAGTGGTCATACAGGTTGAGGAGGCAGGATGGCAGGAAGCTGTGGCCGTCCTTCAAGCTTGTTGTAGTCTAGGTGAAATTCTTTCGCTACTTTGCGCCAATTCTGGGCATCGAAAAAGTAGTATGTTCCACGCTCATAAGTAGAAGTTTTCTCGACAGCGCCCAAGCCTGGTGCCTGTGTAATCCACACCTTCTCCTCTGTGTGGTATCGCCACTCCCTGCTATACCTGAAAGTCAAGTTTCATGTTAAATGCTGTGGCCAAAGCTTGGTACAACCACAACTTCATCACAGTCTTCTGCAAACACAGACTTCCTTGATATATTTGCTAGTTTCGTATAAATTCCAAACCTTAACGTATGGGCTGACCCTAACAAAACGGACAATGAATGAACAAAAGTGATAAAGATATAAAATCAAAAGACGTATAAATTTAAATTGCTTAATTTACAACCAACCAAGCGTCAGATTAGAGATGAAGCCCCTAACTTAAAAATTCAGGATGTGGTAATGTATTGCATGTAACAGCTATTCCACACCTCAGGGGATATAACTTAACTTAAACATTATTTCTTTCCTCTGTAACCAGCCATATGTCAGGTCACAGATGAAGCCTCCAACTTGCAGACCACAGTTGTGATAATGTGCTGCGTGGTGGAGCTATCAAAATACTCCAGGGACCTGTGACAGATGAGCATGGAACAATGGTGGAATGACACAAAGAAACAAAGAAACTTGGAGAAAAACCACTCCTGTACCACTCTGTCTGCTCTGAAATTCACATGTATGTATGAGGGACTGAACCTGGGTCTCCAATGTAAGAAGCCATGGCATTTCCCAGATTAAATATATGCACCTCTCACAATAATCCAGGTCACATCAATTTAAGCCATGCACTTCTAGTCTTTTGCAATGGCAAAAACTTTTTAACAGCTTTACTGTAAAATAAGTACGAAGGTCTGAATAAAGATATTATTAAACTGATACATATCTCTTATTCTGGCTAAAGGAGTACAAGTTACTGGAAGGTGGATCTGCGTCCAACATCAGGTAAAAGTATGAAATCTACACTACTGGATACATTTGATGGAATTGATCTCCAGGTTTATAAATTCCTTTTGAAAGAACTTCCCTTGGAAAATTTGTATCAGTATTATTGAAAAAGAAACTCAAAAAATTCTTTTCTAAATCAGAAGTGATTCAGTTAGAGACAATGTCACATAAGGCACTTCAAACACGACATAAGCAGTTCCTGGAATACAAACAGATACTCTGAATCCTAGTGCATACATTCCCACATACTCCATTATATCCCATTATGTTAAGTTCTGTCTACATTCCACACTTCCCAACTCACCCTGATGACCTGAAACATTTGCTGGCCTATGTTTGATCACACGTCAGTTCATGTATGATATGTGGTGGACAAAGTGGCATCAGAGCAAGTTTTCACTGAGTACTTTGGTTTCCCATGCCAATTCTCATTCTACCAACTGCAACATATTCATCAATCATCATACCACAAACGCTACAGAGTTATGTTCCTGACAGCATTGTTAAATAACAAACTCAGCTCAATGAACTCCGTGATGGTAGTGCACCAAGTGAATGAAGAACATCAAAAAAGGTTTGGGGCAAGTTCCTGGTTACCAGGAATTAAGAAATGAGCTTGTTCTGAGGATTTATGAAATAAAAAAGTATGTGAGGTATTATTTCTATTGTTACACTCATGTGCAATGATGACTGGGGGGAGCTATTTGTCACCTGCCCTGGATTTTTTTTTGTGGGGGGATCAAAATGAAGGAAAAGAACGAAATACACCAACTGTATTTTTATCTTCTGTCCAGCTCTCATACATGGAGCAGCTGTAAAATAACAGGACTGATGCTCTGAAATCTGTTATTCAACAAATCACACAATGGAAGTGTTATCACTTTCAAAGTGGTCCCCTCCCTGACCCCTACACAGCTCCATGCAAATTTTCCACTGTTGGAAGCAATGCTGCAGGTCTTTTTCTGATAGCTTCTTCATTACCTCCGTCACCTTTGCCTTCACTGCATCTATGGACTAGCAATGGATTCGTTTTAATGCAGACCTGATCTTTGGAAATAAAAAAGAAAGTCACAGAGGGTTAGGTCAAGTGAGTAGGGTGAATGTTCCAACATGGGGATCTTGTGCTTCGCCAGAAACGTCTTGACAGACAGCGTGTTGTGTGCTGGCATGTTGTCATGGTGAAGAATCCATAAGCCCTTCTTCCACATTTCAGGTCTTTCTCTTCTCACCCGTTCATGAATGATTGTCAAAACCTCATATAGTAGACCTGGTTAATGGTCTGACCTTCAGGCACCCAATAAATGTGAACAATCCCTCAGATATTGAAAAAAAAAATATCACTGCTTTGAAATTTGACTTGCTCTTCTGTGCTTTTTCTTTTCTTGGTGACCTGGGACTCTTCCAATGCATGGATTGGTGCTTTGTTTCTGGGTCATACTGAAAAAACCACGGTTCATCACAAGTTATTACATTTCCTAACAAGTCTGGATCATTTTCAGTGTTTTGAAGGATGTCAGAACAAATTTTCATTCGAGTTTCCTTTTGCTCAGGAGTGAGGATTCTTGGCACCATCTTAGAGCACACTTTTTTCATGTTAAAATGTTCATGTAAAATCTGTCGAACAATTTCTTTATCAATGTTAGCCAATTCAGCAACTGCTCAAATGCACAGGCAATGATTTTTTTGAACAATTTTACAGTCTTTCTCAATGTTAGCATCTATTTTGACATGCAATGCCGACCAGGATGTGGATCATCTTCGATCTCTCCCCTTCCATCTTTAAAGCTTTTGATCCACTCAAAAACTTGGGTACGAGATAGACATTCATCACCATAAACTTCCATCAACAACTGCATGTTTCTGTAGCAGATTTTCCAAGTTTTGCAAGGAATTTCACATTGACACATTGCTCTGCTTTAACACTTAACATAATTCCGACGGAGCTCAGATACATGGTCTGCTTCAAACAAAGGCTGGTACCACACTGTTGGCTGTATGTCCTTGGAAGTCTTAGGGTTGATGGAGGATAATATGCCACCCCACTTGCTGTTGCCAAGCCCACAGGGATTCAGCAAAAAAATCAGTCCTGTTATTTTATAGCCATTCCACGTATTTCTCAATGTTCCTAAATGAGAGGCAATCAGGGCATAGAAATTATCATAATAAAGTTTCACAGACACTTCTGTAAAAAGTTAAAGGAGCGGAAATATTTAATAGCAAATTATATTGCAGCCATGAGGGCCACCAGGATTCTTTTCAAAGGTTAGCAGCCAGTTCTTTGGGGACGTTGGAGAGATGCCAGAAAATGTACTTAAAAACTTAAGGATGTACAGGAGATACAAACTTAGACAAAGGTGGCTTAAATTCCAATTTAATAATATCTGCGTTTTGTATGTCTTCAGTAGAGCCAGAAGAGACAGATGTGATAGTTACAGTCCTAAAATTTTAACGTGCAATCATTTTTTATCATATAATTTTTTTGGCTGCAATTATCATTTATGTCACTCATTATAATAAAACTTTCAAGAGTGAATACTTTCTGAATCAGACCTCACAAAAAATTGTGAATTAAAACTAATTTTTTTTATACAAAGTAGTAATCATGTTTTAATATGAATAAAATGTCGTTATTTATTATATTTATGAAAACCATGAATCTAATTTTATTCATTTTGATTATTGAAATACTCTTTGAGAAGACTTAAGTTGGCTGCCTTGCTCAGTTCAGTGGTTCCACATCAGTGGACCAACACAACCGAAACCTTGGGTGATACATTTACAGTTGTAGGTTAATCGTAGCTAAAATTCTCTTTGTTATATTGTGTTTTTTCACGCATCACAATGCCAAACACAACTTATTGTTGGGAAGGAAGAATAGTGACTAGAAGTACATATGAGAAGAGACTCACTTGACAGAAAAGAGGAGAGAAAAGAAGTAAAAATGCTATAACCTCAACCCACCTAAGCCTTTGTCTTCCCAGTGGTCTCTTTCCATCTTGCTTTCCCACCAATATCCTATGTGCATTCCTCTCCGCCCCCATTCATGTTACATGCCCTGACCATCTCACCCTCCTTGACTTGATCATTCTAATTATACTTGGAGAAGAGTACAAGTTCTGAAGCTCCTCATTATACAGTTTTCTCCAACCTCCTGTCACTTCATCTCTCTTCGGTCCAAATATTCTCCTCAACATCCTCAGTCTATGTTCCTCCCTTAATGTCACAGATCAAGTTTCACAGCCATATAGAACCACAGGCAAAATTATAGTTTTGTATATTTCAGGAGGAGTTGAAAAACAATTATACAGTATTGAAAAAAGTCACCAGGAGTTAAAAAAATACTGTATTGTATTCCTCTATAGATGCTTTATGTATGCTGTGGCTCAGAATATAGGCAACAGTAAAGAGATGGCAGATGCAATCTGTTGCATTCTGTATCATGCACTTAACGATCACAGTAAATGCGATACATGGTGTGGTTACCTTCAGGATAAAGTGAACTATGACTATAAAACAGTTCCTGGAGGTTTTAATGATCAGCAATTATTTGAAGAGCTCAGATATTTTTCAGAAAATAGGTTCAGATGCAGAGAAATTTTCATGCGGTGCTTCCAGTAATGTTAATGAAAGCCCAAATGCCACCATGGCAAGTAAAGCTCCTAATTCAAGGTGTTACAGCATGACTGCATCAGCTGAGTTTCAATTTGCATATGCTATTGGACAAAGAAAACATCAGTGGGGATACACCCAAGAAGTAGCCAAGGCTATCTATCAACCTGTCCCCTGGAGAACACCACTCACGTTATATTTCAAGGACTCTAAAAGTTCTATGTAAAAGATGATCACCTGCATTTCAAAAGAGATGCCTAGAATCATAAAGAAAATATTGAAGGTATTACCTACAAAGTAATTGTGCCTTTTTGAATGAGCCAGTGGTACCCAATGATAAGGATGACGAGTCAAATTTGAAAGAGGATGCTGGTGATATTCTTATTGTCCTACTTGGCCTTGAAACTTCTGGCTTTGAAGTCAATTGTGATATTTAGCAAATCATTGCCAAGTGCAGAAAAACTTATATAAAACCCAGTCAACAAGTACCTGTGAGAGTGGTGGTAGAAGCAATTACAGTATGGGGTGCCTACCACTGGAAGAGCATGTCAACATGTAGCAGTCAAAGTTTTAAAGAGATCTATTATAAAATATCTCACTTTTGTACAATCTTAATTTTAATTTTACATTTTACTGCCAAAGTATTCAAGTTTTAATTGAAAATTCAATTACAACTCACAAGAACACAATATGGAATCCTATTGAAATTAGATGCAATTCAAGAACTAGGACTAGTATTACTGTACGCCTGATGATGGCCAAATACAGGGCTACTATGAATGATTCATTCATTTTTAAAACGCTATATTTTCCAAAGTATTATACGTACAAATATGATTGATATATAAAAAGACCCGTAAACTCACCAAGTTTGTATTCTGTGCACCAGTTGGTAGCACAATTTCAGTGCCTTTACAAAATGGCGACAAAGCAAGAAAAGAGTTTTTGTTTGTTGGAATATGCGAGATGTTCGTCTGTTATAGCAGTGCAACACACATTCAAAAGAGATTATGGAAAAGAACCGCCATGTAAACAAAGCATTTTGTGGTGGTATCGGCAATGTTCATCGCTACCTAAACAATGAACTTCGGCATTGCTGGATTGGGTGTTGGTGAGGATGACGTAGCTCTGTTCACTGGGCCCCCAGATCACCTGATCTAACGCCTTGTGAATTCTTCCTTTGGGGTACATTAAGGATCGTGTTTACGTACCCCATCTGCCAAGAACACTAGTAGAGCTGAGGGAACGCATCGATGCTGCAGTGATGACCATTGACAGGATGATGCTACAAAATGTGTGGAACGAGCTTGACTACCGCCTGGACGTGTGTCGTGTGACCCAAGGGGCATACATAGAACATTTGTAGAGTGTGAAGAAAACTTGGTGAGTTTACGGTTCTTTTTATATATCAGTCATATTTGTATGTATATTGCTTTGGAAAATATAGCATTTTAAAAAAGAATGAATCATTTATAGTAGCCCTGTATAAGAGTCAAAATATGTAGAGTCAACAGCATAATAAAACAAATGTTGATACAATAGAGTCTATTTTGTTTTTCAGGAATAATGTGGTGTATACTGCCCCCATTATACACTTATATATCCTATTTTTAAGTATCTCCTACATATCCTTAATTTTTAGCTACCTTTACTGATATTTCTATTATACTTTTACCTTTACCTTATACTTAATTAAATGTACATTCCTTTAGATTTGGGATAAACATATTATAAAACTGTCATGCTACCCTGATGTCAATGGTACTCACAACTCGGCCGCCGCTGCCAGCTGTAGAACATCCCCCACATTGGTGTAGAACATGTAGAACAACAAGTCATCTTTATACCGGTTCAGTTTCACTGGCGCTAGCTTCTCCCTGCAACCACCAGATCTGTCATATACAAAACATCTGAAACATCTGATAATATTCATCTCAGTATTTTGTTCTGAAACCTCCATGAATTAGGCTCTTTTCTGTAAGATGATTTTACTTTCGTGGTTTATTTTACAGTACTGTCATTATATAGACGATACAGCATTGAATGATAACATGATTCATGAATGATGAATTGGAAAGGATTTGGAAGGAAGTACTCATTGTCTAATCAAAGTATTATCCTGGTATTGGAATGGAGGGAATGAGGAATACCTGAAAAACCTTAGTAAGGATAGCTAATGTCCTGGCTGAGATTAAACCAAGCACCTATTACGACCACCTTTCATACTCATATAAAACATCAGGTAAAATTACAGCTGCTACTTTAGCTGCAGGAGTGGGGTGAGACAGGGTCCCTTGGTATTGTAGCCTCAAATGGTCCAGCCCCTGATGATGGACAAGTGTGGAACATTGGCAGACTGGTAACTATGAAGGAAAACATTTTGTCCACCATAAATTCAACATGAATTACCCCTGGACAGAATCCAAGCCTCCAAAGTGATAAATCATCAACTAACCACCTGAATTATGCAATGACCTTTATATGAGTGGGGGCACATGGTAGTGTACTTGGTTAAGGCACTATGTTACAAGCCGGAAGGTCGCAGGTTCAAGTCCCGATGAGGTGGATGTTTACAATTGACCTAATCCTTCCAGCCGCACTATGGCCCTGGGGTCAACTCAGCCTCTAACAGAAATGAGTACCAGGACTCTTCCTGGGGGGGTAAAGGGCAGCCGGCGTGTAAGGCTGACAAACTTACTGCCATCTACAAGCCGACTGTCTAGAAAATGTGGGACCCTCAAAGTCTCACAACCCTATGGGCCTCCATGGTCTGCTAGAGTGATTGCTTTACTTTTTCAAACAATCGTGATAACAGAATATCCGCAAAATCATTGAATTATGTCACAATTTTTATGTCTTTCTTCATGTGCAAATACAAAATAGCCCCTCTGTTTTAAGGGTAGGAAGGGGCCATTGGGTAAGTGTAGTATTCAAACCATGATCAGTCAGACAAGCTTGAAAAAATTTAATCTTGAAGCTTCGAACTTGACAGATTTGGAAGGATACAAAAAAAAAAAAAAAGACTAGAACAGTAAACAGAAGTGGTTAATATTGTGACGTGTTGTGCTATGGAGGACACCCCTCACCCCACCAGCGGTGACGTGGCACTTTCGGAGCATTGCCATTGCTATGGTTATAGGCAGGTCAACACCCCCCCCCCCCCAGCGATGACGTGCCAAGCGGAGCCAAAGTGAGCCGAGTCCAAGCACACTGGTCGCTATGCAAAGCGAGTAAACAGCAGTTGCTAAGCAAAGCGAGTAAACAGTGGTTGCTAGAGATGATGGTAATAAACAGCGGTACCCATTACGTAACAGGTAAACATTGCGACTATATAAGAGAACCACATTGCCTAAGAGTTTTCAAGGCAGCAGCCACTGAGCGAGTTGCAGTTTAGCGATCACAGGGAGAAGACCCGAACGTGTGATCAGAAGAGTTATTGTGTGATACTCAGTGATAATTTGTGACAACTGAGAAGTGATTGGGAGTGTGTAATTCAGTGACACTCTTATAGCTCCTGCGTTATAACTACATGAAGTAGACTATTGAACAGATTATTTTGTCAATACCCGTTACTTTGTTATAATTAATTGTAGTTTGGACTTGTAGCTCGTAAATAAACTAGTTAACAAGCCGAACGGTTTCATCGGTAATGAAAAACGTTACATTCTGTGTCAGTTTTGTTTAAAATCTCGCCAACATACGCTCGTCAATTTGATGTTGGTGAGATTTTAAACAAAACTGACAGGCTGGTGTTTTAGATTTTGGATTGTGTGCAGTGTGACAGCTACGTAGTGAAAAATATACCTGATGATGGCCAGTTATGGATGAAACATGTAATGTAGACAAAGAAAAGACAAAGAACTACAACCAAATAAATTGTTGCATTCATGACAGCATTTCTATTATTACATATAGGAGTGTATAGTGCAACAGGATGCTTAAATATAATATGTTAGCAGATATCTTCACAAATGCAATTTTTAATGCTCAAAATGAACATACTTACTTACTTATGGAGCTGAGCCCTTCTTGAGGAGAAGCCAAATCTGCAACTACTCAAGAATTTCCCAGCATTTTATGGAACCTGAAGGTTCATTACCATGTTCACAAGAGCCCTCCATTGGTCCCTATCCTGAGCCAGATTACTCCAATCCATACCATCCTATCTGTCCTAGATCCATTTTAATACTGTCCATTCACCTACACCTTGGTCTTCCAAGTGGTCTCTTTACTTCTGGCTTTCCCACAAATATCCTATATGCATTCTTTTCTCCCCCATTTGTGCTACATGTCCTGCCCATTTCATCCTCCTTGACCTCAAAATGAACATACATCTTTAAATTACTATGCTGAAAAATATCCATGTTCAGGTATAGAGCACACAAAATACCAATCTGCTTACCTGATGGTTGCATTGATGAGGTACTCAGGTGGGACGTGGAAGTCAATATCCTGCGGACGACAAGGTGTTTCTGCCCATGGACCACCAAAATTTGAATGCAAGTTCTCTGGAGAGTTGAGGTTGAGCCCAAGTACTGTGAGATCCTGTCCCAGCGCCAGTGAAACAAGGTTTGGGTCTGTTTCTGCCGCTCTTATGAAGGTGAGCAGCCCCACCATGCCAAACTGGTCCTTCACCATGCTTGCAGGGATGTGCGTCACTTTCCCTTTATGAGCACATTAAAATCGCAATGAGACTCTAAAGAAATGAGATAAGAAGATACCATAATGCAGGAATGTCATACGACTTACAAGACACAAGAAAGAACAAATAATGACTGTCTTCAATTTCGTGTTCTCACAGCAGTGACTGTGATGAGTCCTAACATCTGGGACGTGATATTATGCAGTATGGGGGAAGTTCACTGACATTTCTGGAGGAATGCCAGTGAACCTCTGCTGGACTACATGGACTCACATTCCAGACAATAGTACTCTTCAATTATAACTGTCATCCTTACTGCTGCTTCATCAAATGGACAAGCGAAGAAGCTCAGCACACCAAAATTTACTTATAACAGATAACAAGTATTTTGACCAGATGGGCTGACACAGTGATAACGTTGATTTATATTTGGAAAGTGTCCGGTCTGCATCTCAGCCAGGACATTGGTTATCTTGACTGAAGCTTTTTTGGTTTTACTCAGATCATCCTGGCAAATGCCAAGACAGTATCTCAATTAGGCCACAACCACTTCCTTCCACAGCCTTTTCAATTCAATATGCATCTAGCATTCCTGCTACTCAATGCTATACAGTAGTCTAGCTACTGACAACATTCTATAATAATCCCACTCCCCAAGGAGGGGAGAGTAAGAGGAGGTGCAAGTAGGACAGGGTAAAGGTAAAGCTATCCCTGTAACAGCCAGTGAAGAACCATAGGGTTGTGAGACATCGAGGCTCCCACATTTTCTCCAGACAAGTGGCTCACAGATGGCAGTAAGGTTGTCAGCCTTACATGCCGGCCGCCCTTTACTCCCCAGGAAGATTCCTGGTGCTCATTTCTGTTAGAGGCCAAGTTGACCCCAGGGCCATAGTGTGGCTGGAAGGATTAGGTCAACTAAAATCCACCTCATCTGGACTTAAACCCATGACCTTCCAGCTTTGCAGCATAGTGCCTCAACCAACTATGCCAATGCGTGTCCCAGTATTACAGAGTATACACACCATAATATTTCAAGCAGTCACATTACTTATACTGACCGAAACAGCCCATTAAATAAAGTGCTATTGGAAAGTGGACAGCACTGATGCTTTGTAACTGGAATGTCACAGGTTCAAATCCAGGCCTGGAGACAGGAACTTGAAACTCAAGTTTTTCATAGATTTCCTCAGTCCGTCCAGGCAAATGCCAGAGTAGCACTTAAAATTAGGTCACAACTGCTTCTCTACCTCTAACAATTCTAAGAGTAACACGAGTAACACTAGTATCACTAGCCAGGCTGGACTGTGGCTGCTCTGGGTCACTCACGGGGATGATGTCAATCGGCTGGTATAGCACTCACCATCAGGAGATGTCTGAATGCCCCTCTTCGCTGCCTGTGACTTCTCAGCACCAGGTGCTCTGTTGGTAGGTGTGGACTCCTGGTTACCCAGTTCTGAACCAACTCCCCCTGAGATGCCTTTGTCTCCTGATACACTCCCACCTGGTGATGGTCCATCTGTGTTCTGAGTGCCAGGAAGTGCAGGAAAGTCTTCTGAACTCATTGTGAATTCACTTGCCTCTGCTGTTGGCTGCTTCACCATCCCAACTAAAATAAACAGGAGTCATAGTTTTGGATTATTCAAGAGACTATTACATGAGATGTAACAGGGACTTTATTTCAAACTACACTTTTCATCAATATTTTTTTACATGGTAAATTTCTCAGGTTACTGAAATCTGAGGGTTTCATGGCAATGAAAATTAAGACTGCAGTCTTATGGAATATGACATCATTAACAATTAAGTTTATTTCAGTCCAATGTGACACCACTTTAGCACTTAGTTACCCAACATGTTTCAATTCATAATGAATCATCATCAGAGGTATGCCTCTACGATCAACAATCCACTAATACGTAAAAGTTTTTAAGAGTAGAAACACTTAAAACACTTATGATGCTCACTATATGTAGTTGTTAATTTTTGTCGTATAGATGTTGACGTAATTTTTTTTTGTAATAACAACGTTTTTGAATTGTATTATTTTGAAGTGGCCTAGTTGCAATCACTTCCTTAATGGATAATTAAAAAATGTTCCACTGTATTTTATACAAAAAATTCAATTTTGTTTCACCACAGCAGCCTTCCTTATGTTAAAATTATCTCTATGAGTGTGTGTATAAACTTATTTTAAGATAAGAACTTTATTCGTGAACCAATGTGGGTTGGTTTTATCTTCCTTAGTAGAGGAATTGTCGTCTATTCCTTGGTGGTGTTTGTTATTAACGGTGTGGTTTGTATGCGTACTGTGCTGCTTGTGCTTTAGTTCTGGAAGCATTATATGTCACATTGGACTGAAATAAACTTAATTGTAATCCTGTTAGTGTGACGGACCAGAATGAAACAAATTAAATTGACATCAAGTTTAGTAAATGGTTACCAGCACTTCCTCACGATCATCTGAAGATGTTGGCAGCACATTCATGCAAAATGTTGGTAACCACACTGGGGCTACAAGGCAATGTAACCCAGTTTATTTACAATGTGTCGATTATAAAATGTCAACAGCGAGAATGACTAAGAATGACAAACTGAGAAACAGAAGTCATCATGACCTATTTCCAGCTGCTATCCCAGCATTTGCCAAGATGAATCGAGGAAAATTATGGAAAGGCTCACTACAGCCATTCTTCAGGTTAAGACTCAAACTAGGGACCTCACATATACAATGGAAAACTGATATTCACTCACCCACAATATTCAATGTAACAATGAGCATGCAGCTTCTGTGTCAACACTGTATAAATCAGCAAAGAATTCATCAAACTCCCACATTTCACAAAGATCCATCTCATCAGTTTGATTAGTACTTGCTTCTTCATTATTATCTTTCACACAATCTTCCATTCCAGAATCATCACTGCATATTTCAGACTCTGAGATTTATGTTTCATAGTAATTCTCTTATTCATCAGTTTCATCAACTTTGCTACTTGCAGGAGCTTGCACTTTACAGTCTGAATTACAACAAAGTGAAACATCTTTCTGATCTCATTTTTGACTGCCTCAATCTTCATGTTCAGAATCATCTACACCATACACGACAGCACAAAAACAACAATTACAATTTCCTAAATTTCTGACTGAGATAGCATAACTGAATGACATGCCAGCTCCAGTGCTTAATGACTTGAACATCTGCAAAACTGAACTAGACAGCATAAATCAACCATCCCACGTGGATGGCCCCCTATGACCAAGTGGTTATTGTGTCATGTGCATAGTATAATGCATAATCTTGCAAGTAAACAGGCAGCATATTTATTTTCATTTAACATTTTTCTCTTATGTCAAACAACACGATGTTTTCAACCTACTTACCTAACCTCACAGAACAGATGTATGGCATAATACAACAAATATTTGTTTGTGTGTAGTTGGAAAACTATTATTACCACTTTCAAGCAGAGGTTTGTGCAAGTACCGTTTGTTTCAACATTGACAAACTGCATTTTGCTCACAGAGTATATTTATCTCATAATAAACAACCATCTCCCTAAACTGCATTAACCAAACTGCTTGTAAACCCCCTCAGTTATGGTGCAGCTTTTGTGAGGTTTTGAATATCATTTTTCTTTACTCTGTCTATATGACCACCAAAATGCAGGGCAAAATCATGACATAAAGACAGGAAATAGATGTTTTGAAAATGTGGCACAATTCATATATTTTGGAAACATGATTCAGGAGGAAATTAAGAGGAGATTGAACTCAGGTAATGTTTGCTACCATTCAGTCCAGAACATTTTGTCTTCTCGTCTGCTGTCCAAAAACATAAAAATTAGAATATACAAAACTATAATTTTGCTTGTGGTTCTGTATGGGTGTGAAGCTTGGTCTCTGATATTAAGGGAGGAAGATAGACTGAGAGTGTTTGAGAACAGGTGTTAAGGAAAATATTTGGACTGAAGAGGGATGAAGTAACAGGAAGTTGGAAAAAAACTGCATAATGAGGAGCTTCATGACTTGTACTCTTCTCCAAGTATAATTAGAATGATCAAGTCAAGGAGGATCAGGTGGGCACGTTATGTAGCACAAATGGGGGAGACGAAGAATGCGTATAGGATATTGGTGGGAAAGCCAGAAGAAAAGAGACCACAGAGACGACCAAGGTATAGGTGGGGGGACAATATTAAAATGGATCTTAGAGAGATAGGATGGGATGGTATGGATTGGATAGATCTGGCTCAGGATAGGGACCAGTGGAGGGCTCTTGTGAACATGGTAATGAACCTTTGGGTTCCATAAAATGCTGGGAAATTCTTGAGTAGCTTCAGAATTGGCGGCTCTTCAAGAAGGGCTCAGCTCCATGAGTAAGTAAGTAAGTCTATATGACACAATTATTCTAGCTCCATTTTTCATTGTAAATTTATGAATTTAAATGCTTATAATATACAATTAGGCAATAAAAGTATGAAAAATAGTGGCTTATACAGTTACAGGACTTGTTAAGTACTTGTATGAACCACTAGTCCAGCACAGATAAAATATTAATATCTAACTATCCTCCTAGCACCAAAACTCATAAGATTTAACATTGCTACCACATAATCCTGCGCCACTTCCATCCACCTTACATCCTTACAACCTACATCCATAAGATCAAGTCAAATGTCAGACCCTTATCCCTTCAAACTTTGAAATGGCCACTATCCAAGAGACTTCTCCAGTTGAAATCTGCATGTGTTATTTGTCTCCCTATCAAAGCCACATGTCCAGCCCAGCCTCCTACATTTCTCTCACAATTCCAGATGATTTGTATAAGTTGAAAAACTTACTCATTATGTAATATTCTAAACTGCTTAGTTACTTCATCTTCCACACATGCTTTTCTCAGTTGTTTTCACATACTTGTAATTTATAATTCTTCCCTCAAAGTAAGAGACCATAAAAGAACTGGTAACATTACTGTTTGATGGTTTTAGATATACAGATCAGATGATAATTTTCTACAATGAATGCTTTCATTTTTCCAGCTGATGAAGATCATGATGATTCAGAATTGGATAAAAATATGATCCATACAATGGATTTAAACTTAAGTGTCTTCATACATAAATAGGACAGACCTGACATTAGTCTCCTACTTCACTGACAAGAAGCTGCAGAGGGAACTATGGAATGCAGGCATACAGGCATACTTACCGTAAGGCTGCTTGCCTGGCATCGGACTTGGCTGTGGCATGGGATCACCTTGGCCTGCTCTGTTTGTAAGCGAGGGGAACTCTGACAGGTCAAGAAGTGGTGGTGTACTTGTCTCCCCACTACCAACACCAAAAACAGTATGGAAGTTGCTGATAGTGCCCTGAGACCCATAGCGACTCTGGGGTATTCCAAAACTTGGCATGCTGCCCACTGGATTTGAACTACTGTAGACACATGTAACAAAAACTCATTAACCAGTTTGATGGAGCTATTCGATTATTACAAAATCAATTATTAAATTGTAAAAGTAAGAAGCTACTATTAACATAAATTAAATCTACTGGCCACTTAACAAAATCCATTTTCCAACAGTATGTTTTATATAAATGTTCATAAATTACTCGGGATTACTGGACTTTCGGACTTTGTCCATTGTCTAGTATTCTAAAAAACACTAAAGAACACAACATTTCAGAAAATGGTTATGTTTGTCCTCAGGTGAGGGTCTGGGAGACACCCATTCTGTTGGGTCAATTAGAAACAGCTAACTGAAATCACTGGACCCTTAAGAATGTATTTCTAAACTAAATTCCTTTTCTGTAACCAGCCAAATGTTGGGTCAAAGATGAAGTCCCAAACTTGGTGACTGAGGATGTGATGATGTATTGCCTGGTCAGGGTTAATGTACACCTCAGGGGGCTGTGACAAATGAATATGGAGCAAAAGGATGACGAATGAAGAAACATAGAGAAAAACCTGCTCCAGTGCCACTCTGTCCACAGTGCTAGGCCGCACCACAGCTCAAGCAGTTAGTCACTGGCTTCCAAATGCGGCGGCCCAGGTTCGATCCTGGGTCTGGTCAAGTGGGATTTGTGGTGGACAAAGTGGCACTGGGGCGGGTTTTCTCCGAGTACTTCGGTTCCCCTGCCAATCTTCATTCCACCAAATTCTCCATCATCATAATCGCCCAGGGCAGGTACAACAGGCCAATCACTGGCCGCCGTGCCGAGTGGACCCAGCTGGACTCCACCCCCAACTAAGCGAATTAAAAAAAAAATTGTCCACAGTGCATCTAGCATGTATTCATGCAAGACTGAAGCTAAGCTAAGAAGTGGGAAGCCAGAATTTAATTGCTAAGCTATAGAAGACACTTCAAATGTCAACAGTAAATGTTTTAGGATTGTCCACTGACCTAGCTTTTTATATAAAAATTCGGAGAGGTGGAATCTGTACCAGAATATAAAGCATCCATATGCACTTCTGCACTTTTGTATTCTGCATGCTCCTGGCTGTTACAGATAGATTTTTATCAATATGTTCACAGTATCAAGTAGGCCTATAACTTTTAAATATAATGTTTACTGCTGATCAGTCATGAAACTGAAGCCTAAATATAAATTTCATGCAGCTGCCATTCTGTAATACATATTACCACAAAAAGAAAAGTTGCATATTTTTTCACAGCTCTGTTACCACATGTAATTTCAGGATTCTATATTAACCTTTAATGACCGAAAGTCCGGTATACCGGACGGTACCTGTGACCTCGAAGATGCCGAAAGTCCAGTATACTGGACGCAAGACACGTGCTCACTTTAGAAGTGCTTACGGTTAGACCTTGAGTTTGAAACCAAAACAAACCCACGCAAGTTCAAGTCAGAGGTCCAGTTGTTGGCTCTGAACAATAAAACCCTCCATCATGGCACTGGGTTCGATTTCGTTTACATGTAGGTAAGACTGTTTGTGACTTGGTCAGCCAAACAGAGTGGAAGCTTCTTCACAGAAAAGCTGACCCAACATTCCTCTGTGCGGGCAGATCACTGCTTCTGTAGCTCTCAAGGAAGTGTGACATGTTTAGTGAGTGTCTGAATTATCAGCTTGTGAGTCAGTGGCGGACTGTGCTTTCAGGGTTACTTTTTTTGTTTTGTACTGAAGTCAGTGGAGTCAGGAAGTCAGTGTCAGACTGTCACAAAATTACGTTGTGAATAAAAGGCATCCTCATCACTGTGACTTTCGGTATCAGTGTATCCGAACAATCAGCAAACCCCCCCCCTCCCCCAAAATGGAACGTGAGAGATGTGCACGTAATTCCAGACATCTGGATCCAGATGAGCTGCATGAAATTTGGCACACGCGCACCTGTGTGTGATGAAAAAGAAACTGTGATTTGAGGGTGTCCTTTGTCAATGAACATATATTTGGGGCTGGATTTTATTCGTCAATCGCATGAGGGGATTTATTACGGTAATTGGTGTTTCTCTGGGGAAGCCAAGATTTTTCATTGAGTCGTCTGGAACTGAACATTGACAACACTGTCCGGCCAGCCAGATAGAAACAATAACTTCCTGTTTGTTCGCTAAGCGAGAGACTGAACCAGATTGTCTACCAGCGTATGAGAAGTGAGGTCTGTGTGACCTTCACAACGCGCTGAAGCAAACTCTGCCTTTCCGCGCTCCCGCACGCAGTATCTATAGTAGCGTAAACTTACACGACGCAACGAGTTGAAACTCGTGTACAGTCTGACCAAACATTTTGGTGTATAGTGTCAATGTATTTTGGATATAACGACGTCTCAAATTTGAAGAAAAAATTATGGGTAAGTCTTTTGGAATTTCATTACACATATAATAGAGAGTATATTTTGAATTTCATGACATAACAATCACAGTTAATTTTTATTTGTAAAAATTGCCATAGGTATATTGTAGGAAATTTCATTCTCTTTCAGGCGGTTTTTAGTTCGTATTTCTAAGCTGCATAGAACGGAAAATATGTAGTTTTTTCTGAAAGTCTACAATATTAAAAGGGCAACGTCAATTTAACTCCGGCAGCAGCGCAGTCGTGGGGGGTTTAAATGCCGACTCTTAAAGGTTAAAAGACACTAGTATCACTCCAGCTTCACAATATCAAGCATCATGTTGATACTACTGACACTAGAAAATTATAAAGTAGAAGTATGGGGTAGCCCCAAATGGCATAACATCTACTCCAAATTTTTCACCACAATCCATCTCGGGATTTGCAAGTTCAAAAATGCAGACAGTCACACACATTCAGTCCTACACCCATTAATTCCACACATACTGTGCAAGAAATTCATAAAGAATGCAATATTTTGGATGGATTCTACTTCTGTCTTCAGGTAGATATGACAGATTCTGACCCTGCTGGACCCCTACATACAGCCCTGCTCTTCCCATCCCACACACAGCAATAAATCAGGTGCTCATTACATTTTTCATACATTCAGTGAACTATTCTTCATATAACTGATACAGTTTGATGTCAATTCTTCAAAATACAATGGCATGTGTACATAAGACATTGTTCATCTGAGTATATAGTGCACTTTTGCTTGGCGTGGGTATGCTCAGGCAGTGTAAAATTTGAACATACCTGCACATGGGGTATAGTCCTGAAATCTGATGACACTTGGTTTGAAAAAAAAAGCTGCATTTGGTGAGTATTTCTTCATTAGGTTACATCAGGCTGGTGTTTCAGTTAGGCTCCCACATTTTCTAGACAGTCAGCTCACAGATGGCAGTAAGGCTGTCAGCCTTACACACCAGCCACTCTTTACCCCCAGGAAAATTCCTGGTACTCATTTCTGTTAAATGCTGAATCAACCCCCAGCTGGAAGGATTAGGTAGACTGAAAAATCCACCTCACTGGGACTCAAACCTGTGACTTTCCAGCTTGTAGCATAGTACCTCAACCAACTACACTACTACATGCTACATATACTACATATAAAACTTTATGACAATGTGATAATGATCATGCTTATCATCATTGGCAAAACAGCCCTTTCTGAGCCACAGCCTTCCTACAGACTGCATTCAATTTCACGTCTATGGATTTGGCAACAGTATTTCTACTACAGAACAGTGTCGTCAGTCTTATATCCAATCCCCAACCTGGATAACCAGGTCCCCATATTTAAGTCCCCCAGTGACAGGGTTGTCCAATTATATCCCAGGCACCAGCTTCTCTTTTCATCACCTTCTACAACTTGCAAGGCTACAGTGAAGGTAATCTAACCCACCTCCACATGGGATAAAATAATATGAAAATTATATCAAATTAATGTGCAACATCTTGCCTTACACATACTTTATACTAATGACCTCTGGTGGTAAAACATTATTACTTCCATCTTTGGAACTATGACAATTATGACTGTAATTCATGCCTGCTACATTCTGCAGCAACATCACCTTATATACACCAAATAAAGTAATGGGATATCATGTGTGTGTATGAGACAATTCATCAAATACAACATGTGATCAGATGCATTAAATGTATACATCTTTTTTATCATGCAACATGTTTAGGCTTATTTGTCCATCATCACTTAATAATTATGTAAACAGCCTGATGAAGTCCAAATAGGTTAAAACATATTGCATGCTAAGTAAGCCATATACAATTAATGCAACTTTTCACAAGCTGTGTTTGACAGAATGTCTCATGCACATTTACATACACATGTCACAATATTCTGACAGCATGCCAAAGTCAGCATTCTCTATTACTTAAATGCTGACAGTCAATAAAATGTTTTAAAACACTTTTTGTTGAGTGCTAATCCCCCAGCAGTTCATATCTATGTATTTATTTCTCCTCAGTGTGAGGAATATCATTTCCCAAATAAACAATCCAACTGCTAAGAGGTTACTAAGAACAATGCTTCTGACACCAAAACTGAATTGTGGCAATATGCAAACACTACAGAAAAATGTTCAAACTATGCACACTTACTAAACTATCCCATCCCATACATTACCTTGCCCCATAAATAAGTAATAATAGAAAAATAAGATGCAAACAGAAACAATTCTACTTATGTGTTTATAAACATGCATACTAGTATTTGGTATAACCTCTTCCAAATTAGAGCATAAAAATAACACAATTTCTAACCTGACTCCAAGGCCTGGTATGGACCTTCTATCTGGAAAAGCTCTCTGTCCGCTGCCAAACAAACGGTTTCCCATTTGCAGATTCCTGTTTGGGGACAACTGCTGTGGGGTGAAGGAACTTGTGAGGCCTGCAGAGCCTGGAAACATGCCTGATGTGGGTGTAACATGGCCTGAGAGAGAACCTGTGCTGAATCCTCCTCCCCTGAGATTTTGACTTCCTATGCTCCTTGGAGGCTGTTGGAAGTTCAGGTTGGCCATAGCCTACTGAAAATACAGATGGTTGCACATTTACACACTGCTATCCACCATAATATAAAGATTGCTTCTAAACTATTCATAACATAGTATGCGAGTAATGTGATACCATTATACTATTATATATAATATAATCCAGGGCACAGAAAAACAATTCTAAACTAACCACAGTCTTTACGATAAATTCGGCTAACGAACCTAAATTTCCACTATTATAACCAAACACAGCATAACTGGATACTCATACACAAATCTTGAAAATATAACCTCATCACAATATACAGCCTAATTATTAGTCTTTTACTTAACAGAAGAAATAAACTGATTGATGTTACCTTCGCACTGAATGATTTAGGCTTACAGAACGTTCGACAGAGAAAATTAATTTCTGTCAATCATGTGCTATATTGTATTAAATACTCGGAAACAAAATGCAAAATGGAACAAAAACTTAAATGCAATATTTCTGAAGTAAATGCACAATTTTAAACACACTTACAAATAAAATATAAGTGTTAAACACCTGTAATCAGTCTCAAACAAAAACTTTCTGCCATATTAGCAACCTGAATGCGATCAAATAAGCTTCCATTAAATTACCTGTTATTACTAAAAGAGAATGTAAAATGTCCTTGGTATAACTGCACATTCTAAACTTTTTCATGTTAATTTACAATTGGGCTCGATTAATAATTCACATTAGTTTCTATTATGTATGAAATGTTTATGACATTTAATTTGACAACCGCTGCTGTCCCATGATCATATGATCATTTAATGTTTAATATTTGAGAAGAACCCCGTAGTAGTATTTCGTAAATATATTCGGTAAAGTTGGCTTGTTTTGTAGCTTTTTAGCTCTTAATTTGTTGAAATATTACAATGGCACTCAGCGATGCTGATGTTCAAAAGCAGGTCAGTAAAATAACCTTTCTGTGCATAATATATGAAATCCGTGCTTTGCTGTTCTCGAGACCTAGTTTATAATTCAGTAGTAACAAACGAAGTTTTATATTAAGAAACCGTCTTTAAACCTTACATAATAAGCATTTTAATAACGTATACATTTTTCTGTTTTAGATTAAGCATATGATGGCTTTCATTGAACAAGAAGCCAATGAAAAAGCCGAAGAAATCGACGCGAAAGCAGAAGAAGAATTTAACATAGAAAAGGGGAGGCTTGTTCAACAACAGCGTTTGAAGATTATGGAATACTACGAGAGAAAAGAAAAACAAGTAGAATTACTAAAAAAAATGTATGTACTGCCACATACCTTTACCATACTTTAGAGGTTTTATTATTATGTAGGCCCCTCTTTTGTTATGTACCATATTTTGTTGTGGGATACCAGGCTTTACCTCTGTATCGTTAGTATGCAGTTGTCTATATAAGAGGTTGAACACAGAAGTCTTTTAAATGGTTATAAATCCCATTCTTCTGGACTGTTTCCACAGCACTTTCCAAGGTCTTCTCAGCTAATTCTCAAAAGACTGGATGGGCAATATCTGTTTCATAATGGGCAACAGATGCTAAAGATTGTGGCAGATGCATGAGTACTGAAAGGTTTTGTTGAATGCACAGCCTATTATTGGATCTATCAATCCATAGAAAGAAGTCTGAGGTAGTTTCAGTTGTAACCATCCAGCCCTTACGTTGGGCTTCACGGGCAATATCTGTTTCATAATGGGCAACAGATGCTAAAGATTGTGGCAGATGCATGAGTACTGAAAGGTTTTGTTGAATGCACAGCCTATTATTGGATCTATCAATCCATAGAAAGAAGTCTGAGGTAGTTTCAGTTGTAACCATCCAGCCCTTACGTTGGGCTTCACCTTCTCTTTGTAACCATTTGCCTACATGTTTGGCATCATCTCTCTTACCATCCTTTTGGCCCCTTGGTTGCTGGTTGCAGCTGCTCTAGCCGTTCCCTCTCACCTGTTTTTACTCTGGGTTTGCAGGTTGCTGCTGTGTCCTTCTTGTCCAGTTCTTCCCCTTTTGTTGGTGTAGTGGATATTTGATGTTTGCGGGATATGGGTTACATGAATGCTGGGCGCCAGTAAGCTTACTATAAAGGCTTACTTCTCAGGAAAAATGGGGGATGAACCGGAAACTACAGGTGATAGGTACTGCATTCGCACTAGAGCGATGAGATTCTGTCAGGGTGCATACAGGCCTCGCATTAGCGGGAAAGATAAGAGTGTTTATAGCTAGGCACTACCACACACTGTTTAATGAGCACTTTTTGATATTCAGGTAACAGCACTTGTCCTTAATCCCTTGAACAAACTTGAAATCACTCAAACATTTGCAACCGGTGTTGTGCCGTGATGACAGGGGTGGTTAAAAACAATACTAATTCACTTCGTTAGCCAACTCTTCGTTGGCTAACCCCACACCTGACACCACTTTGTAATGGCGTAGAGCGGGCGTGTAGGTTCTGACCCACCTCTACACCCTGTCACGCCCCCAAGAACTGGGGTATCATTTAATTACCCTAGACTAGGATTCTCCTCACCCTTAAACTGTTTTGTTGCATACGGCTGCCGTTGGAGGCCTGGGGGTCAGCTCTGCCTTCGTCTGGACTAGGATAGCTCCGGATTGGTCTGGGAAGGGTTCTGTTTGTGGAGGTAAATCACAACTCTGTGTTACATCCTACCGTAATTCCACTGGTCTAATTTACAGTAATAGGAATGCTGACGTTCTGTCGGGTTTACATAGTATCGGTATGTTGACTGGTTATCACTTTCCTTCTGATCTCCCACCTAGGGCATATGGCTTGAGTCTGTCTCTTTCCTTCATTCTCTACCACTTGTTACACAGTTTCTATCCTATCCTATCTTAATGCTCGCAGGGCACACTGGAGATTGCACTTCAACAATTTAACAAACAACAATAAGTTTAAGTAGCATGGCTAGTATGAGCAAATTGACTTACTTGACGTAGAGACTCAGGCAACTGCCATCTTGTTGAACCCATGCCAACACAGGGCCTTTGGCAAACTTTTCTAAATATTACATTTTGATCACAGAAGAGCTAAGGAGCCTTCCTTTTCACACCTTTATACTCTAAAACAGCTGGCGCAGCAGCTTCCCAAGAGGCAAGTTACCTCCTCCTCTTGCCCCAATTAAGGGTGGTGGTCTTCCATTGGCTAACCTCTTTTGTCACGGACGAATCCATGGCGTCTCCTCCCCGTGTATTCGGTAATTTTGTTCTGCCCAATGGCCTACTGAAGCGAGTTTTCTGCGTGTGCGATTATGCACCTCTGCTGACTAAGACATTCTTGACCGAGTTCCATAGTCTGTTTGTTGCCATCTTTGCCCTAATTGATGTGAAACTCTTTTGCAATTCTCATAACATTTGGGGCAATGTCTCAAATTTCCATTCTCGAAATTTGCGGCATAACAACTGGATTCCTGGCTAGTTATTTAGCGACTGCTTTTTAGCACAACAATTAAAAGTGAGTACACTTTCACTTAAACTTTTAAGCCAAATTAAGATTGACACTAATTTTTACGTCTAATTAATTTTGCTGAGTTATTCAAAGATTGTTCCAGTAACACTCTTAAAATAATTTTGTTTTTAAATTTGACTTTTGAACCAAGCTGCCAGTGATGCTAATTTTTCGGCTGTACACTTGGAGAGTTGTTCAGAGACTCCTTTATCAGACTGACTCTGCTTTGAAGCAAGAAATCTTCACAACTTCAGCTCCGCCTCCAAATTACTACCCTAATTTCAGCTGATTGGAACAATTCGAATTTAGGGAGTTAACTGTAATTCTCACTGCTCCAATCACCTAGCTTTAGTTTGTGACTTTGGACCTTAAAGTCCTAACGTCATTTTTGACAGCTGTTTGAAAAATTATACCAGCAGCGTGGGTTGTTGGCCTTTCCACTTTTGACTTATGGAGTTCAAAACCTGTCAAGTGTAACTTTACCAAAGGATCCCACTGGTCAACTTTCAAACTGAATTTCCAGGAAAACTCTGCAGGGTGCTTCCTGCCTGGTCTCTGTAGCAGTGAAACAGACCCTATTCTTGAAACCAAGAATCAGGCTAAGTCACCCTTGAATGTTCCTTACTACATCCTATGCATAATTACTATAAAAAGAAATCTTCATTACAAATAAAGCTGGTGGTGTCAGTGGTACGGCTACACAGTCATTACATTCACCTTCCCCACCCCTCACATCCATCCTTTTCACTTGTAATGATTTCTTTATATTAGTTGATGCTAAGTATGTTTGATATTTAGTATGTTGTCATTATATAACCTATGAATTAACACATTTACTGAAAAGAAAATACGTACAACATTGCAGAGGTAGTATCACATGAATAATGTGAAGGCCATAGACTGTGAAACAACATGACATTTCTTGTAATATGTGACAATAGGTTCAGTTGTAAGAAAGCTGAGAATTATTTTGTAACTTTACAGTCAGTCGTCAAATATGCTGAACCAGGCACGACTGAAGGCCTTGAAGGTTCGTGAAGATCATGTTCGGAATGTCCTGGAAGAAGCTAGGCGTCGATTGGGTGAGGTGACGAGAAATCCCAGTAAATACGCAGAGATTCTGAATTTGCTAATTCTGCAGGGTTTGCTACAGGTAATTTGTTTGGAGTGATGTATTGAGCGCTCCAAATGGTAGCCATATTGTATTATCTATTTTTGTCCCTGTAATTTAGTATGTACACCCATAAGAATAAGGAAGGCAGTACAGTAAGATTGTAAATTCCACACCATGACATGGGGTGGTGGAGGTATAAATCCACATATTTTGAACCCACTAGCTAAAGCTCCCCTGTTACCTATTAGATTGGAGACCAGGTGGACCCAGAGCCAGTGTGAATTTAGTGGTGAAAAGAGAAATCCATGCTACCACTGGGAGTTGAATCCTGATTGTCCAGTTGTCCAGCTTGTAACCTGTTTGTGTACTGAAATCCACAAGCATTGAATAGGCTCTTTTTATCAAATGATGGGCTACTTAGCAGAAAGTCTGGCATGCAAATTATTCAGAACTTCTTGAATCAAACTCCAAAATTTTTAAGCCATGCAGTGTAACTGAACCACAATAAATTAAAATTTAAGTGAAGCAATGGGTAAAATTATGTTGATTCAAGAATAATTAATATTAACAGCCCTTCATAGAAAAATATGCTGTACAATTGTAGAAACCATTATTGTTAGGTAGGCCACACGCAGGCATGCGTCAAGACATGTAACAGTCAAGACACAATGTCTGCAACATGACACAAGAAAGGAGCACAGTCGAAATGAATGATTATGAAAACTGCTGCACACCAGTCTGTCATGATGTTGACTTCATGACTCGGACCAGTGTGCGTCGGTTTTCATAATCTCATTCGTTTCAACTGTGCTTTCTTTGCTTCATGTCGCAGACATTGTGTCTTGACTGTTACATGTCTTGATGCATGCCGGTGTGTAGCCTACCTTACACATCATGATATAACGTAGCATACATGTGACTTGCCACAGTCTCAGTAACTTTCTCATGGAGGAAGCAGTATGGAAATGAGCTGGCTTGGACTTGGATCTGTCCACATGGTAGCAAAATTAACCATTTTCTCAGGGTTGGCTCTCTAAGGGGAGAACACCTTTTATCTTTACCAGTTTTTCTATGACATGCTGTTTAATAGGAACACTGGGACAGAATTTGGTAATTATATATGTAGATTCTTGACATATGAGATGTTTTCATGGCAGTGAAGATTCATGTTGTGATCTCATACTATGCAACTGTGTATGTGTGAGTGCATACCAGTGTTTTGGAGGAATGTCCTTTCTCCATGTTCTAATTTCAAATAGTTCCTACCTACCTCACTGCATGATGCCACATCCCAAAACAAAATGTTTTTGATAATTATTTTTTTCTTCACCTAGCTGTTGGAAGCAAACGTGACAGTACGTGTCCGAGAAGTTGACCAGTCAACAGTAGAGGGCCTCCTGCAAGGTGTGGCAAACCAGTACAAAGATATCACAGGCAAAGATGTGAATTTGAAGGTGAACACAGAATCTTTCCTGGCTCCTGACGTAACAGGAGGCATAGAACTTCAGGCACAGAAAGGGCGTATCAAAATTTCCAACACTTTGGAAGCCCGTCTCGATCTCATTGCTCAGCAACTTGTACCAGAGGTCCGAGGTGCACTGTTTGGACGAAATCCTAACCGCAAGTTTGCCGACTAGATGCCAGACTCCAGCAATAGCTACATTCCATTTTCTCTGTTGTTTGTAGGGTGAGACTTTTTGGAGGAAGGGTAAGGGCCTTTAAGGGAAAAAACTCCCACGTCACACATACAGTGAGACCCTGATTTAATATAAGAGATTTTCACCTTTCCAAAACTCCTGACTTAATTCGGTGTGACTGTGACTTATATTAGCAGAACCTTGGGGGAGAAAACTTCCAGTTGCCCCAGATACTCGGACCATTACTAGATCCATTGTGCACCCTTGATTGCGTTGGGGCCCTACAAAGAGCCCCTAACTTTAATGCCAGAGCCAGATTCAGTGTGATTGAGGCCCTCATGATATGTATCATCTGTAACCATTCAGAGCTGAAGACCTCTATTGTATGCCCAACCAAAGCCGGACATCAACAAAGTATATGTTTGGAGTATTCCTCCTGTCCATGTTTCCTGCAAACGGCACCTCATGAGAAGTTCAAAGTAGCAGTTGTGGTTGAAACAGTCACTGCCAATTAGTTTGATGTTGCATAAATCATTTGTATAGCAACATCTCAGTCTAACTATGGCAACAAATTACATTATCATAATTTCATACTTCAGTCTTAAAGGATGAACAGAGTCTTTTTGTAATTTTGCATAACTCTCAGTTAGTGTAAGAAAATCTGTTCTCCCAGAAATTCATGTGTACCATTGGGAGTTTAGCAATACGCTAAATCATACAGCTTTCCTCCTCTGAGCAGTACCTTACAGACACAGACCAATGCAGCACACATAGTATTAGAGAACTTGTAAAAATGCTATTAATGTGTAAAACACAAACTGCATTTTCATTTCACTCCATAAATGTTAAGACAGTTAGGCAGTCCAAAATGTTAGAATAATATAAAATTCTTAATTCACTTGGTGACCAAATGCAATTAAGCCTTCTCAGGTTATCATCTGTGTCAGTGCAGAACAAAATTCAGTACTTATGTGGCCGATCTCCCGAGAAGACTTCATCGTATCTGAGTACAAATTGCATGTTCACTTGCCTCCCCATCTGTAGTTAAAGTATTATTACTTGTATGATAACAAGAAAAGGATATATATGAAAAATTAAGGGGAAATATATGTATAAATATGGTGAAAAGCGTTGTGACTAGATGTATATATGTACAGTAGCAGTGGGATATATTAAATGGAAAAAATGAAAACTGTGGTCTTTAATTCCGTGGTACTCTGTCTAAATGTCTTTAGGGTACATCATCTCTTGAATAGGCAAACTCATGTGAGGACAGCCCTGTGTGTTAAAGGAGGTCTTCGCTATGGCGATTTTGGTTCCCATCTCATTGAAAATAGAAGCTAGTTAACTTTCTATTGATGATGCCCCCTCAGAGATATTAGACACAAAATACACATTTTCTTAGGCTATTCAAACTGGCATGTGCACTGCACATTTTCTGTTGTTTTATTTTCATTCAGGAGCTGGCTGTACTCGTTTTCAAGTATGTCCATTATGTGCAGTTAACCTTTATTGGATGGGGCATTTAAATTCCGGTAGTGGCAACGGGATGGATTTAATTTAAATGGCCGCCACTGTAGAGTAATAAAAATTGTAATCATGTTACTCAAAATGCTGTGATTTCTACAATTTTTCTGATGAACGAAATAAACGCTGCTTTTATCTAGAAAGACAGTAGAAACAGATATTGTAATTTACGGATTTTAGAATCTGTAAAAATTGTTACACTGATTCCAAAAAATTGTTTTTCCCAATTTTAAGCATCTGTCCACTAATATGCAGTCAGTTTCTGCAGTAGAAATGCCTGCTGGTGACATCATTCATACTCATACTGCATTACTTAGCCAAAGGGGAAGAAATGTTTATGCTTATATAGCACTCCCAAACTTTCTGTATATACAATCTGCCACACAAGAAGTAATGTTAAGCTTCTTAGAAAGGCCCGCACTTGGCCCCTTGTTCTACGTACTTTCAGTCTTATGTACCACATTCTAAATCGGTGACATTTATCAGCTGCCTATTAACTTCGCCTTTTTCCATGCGAAATGGGGCCATGGTGGATAGTTGAAATTGCGATGTTTTATAAGCATTATGATTAGAGAAGGCAAATCGGCAACATTGGCTGACTTCCTGCTAATACGAGACAGATGTTGCTGTGTGCGCTTCGCGTGGAAAACAGAGTTAATTACGGGCAAAATGCATGAATTGCGACATTGGACTCTGCATTCAGTTAGATGATGCAGGAGGGAAGACAGTCTACTTATAAAGCTGGTGTCCAAAAACAGTGTAAGTAGAACAAGAATTTCTATCTTAAAATAAGATTTTAAAACACTATGCACACGCGTGGATTGCGGGTACCCATACGGTGACGCACGGCCACTGGGCTGTACTTTAAATGACGCTGTATGGTGACATTAGTCTCTTAAAGGTTAATTTCTATCTCTAGACAAGGATAATGGACCCAGCAGAGTAGGTTTCATTCTTTTACCTAATGACAGGAGCAGAGTGAGCTTCTGAAACCAAAATTGAGACAAAACAAGATGTCCAAAATATGCTGTCAGTTTAGTAACACAAACGTTCAAACATATTGTGGCATGTAGACCCATTGCTAGGATGTGCACACAACAAAAGCATAGCAAGAGAGGAATTATGTTTTCTATGTGTTCCATGCTGATGTGTTATAAGCAGGACAAGTTAGAGTTTAGTTAGTTGTGGGACAGTTGCCAGCCAGTAAGAACGTGAGTACAGAAGCAGAGGATCCATCACCAGACACCAACTGGTGAAGACTCAGCAGACTGAAAAGACTTAGTACGTGCTGTAGGGAATTGCAGAGTGTGTGACATAATGGTAGCGCTGTAGTTACTTGTTACAATCTGTTAAGTGTTCGGTAAATCCAATTACCAATCCAAAAACCCTCTCTGTAGTGGCCCATACATGTGACAACAGGTGTCAGAAGTGGGGTTGGATTGCTGGACTGAAGACTGCAGTAGAAAGTTGTATTGTCATATTACAAAAATGGAAAAATTATGGAGAAAAGACTGGAATGCCTGTTGGCTGGCTAAGAACAAATGATTGCTGAAATGAAAGCTGGGATGGAAGTTAAGATCAAAGCCGTGATGGACTCTCATCATGAGATATTTGAGGTCCTTCTAGGTGCTTTCATCTCCTGGATGGATATCCACCAAGACAGGACATAGGCCAACCAATGAGAGATAATAGTCAAGATGGAGGCCTGTCTAGAAAAAATGGACACCACGGATTTGGATGACATAGCGGTGTATCAGGAAGTCCCTAAAGAAGAGGCCACATTGGAAACTATCAGAACACTGGAGGACTGATATGGGATCAGCATCTAAATGTAGGACCCCGCCAACAGCCGAAGAAGTGGTCCCAGGGCCATGGTGTATCATGGAAAAAGTTGGCAGCTACCCAAGGACAGTTGATTCACTGTGCCATTCCTGCACTGGGCAAGGGACACTGTTGTCTGGAACACTGTTGTACATGGAACCCCTGAAGGATGGATTTTCAAGAAGACGTGTTGGGCGTGGCCTAAACGCAACCATGGCATAAGGGACAGGCCTGAGATGGGAGCTACATCTGGGGAGCAAGGGGACATTTTATGAGACCCTTGGACAAATCATCAGACTGGAGGTCGCGAAGTGAGCAGTCAAGTTTTCCATCAGGCAGCGGAAAATGAGTGTAAAGACATGACAGAGGACTGAGCCTCCACCCAAACAGAAAAGGATGATGGTGATACATCTGGACTGACTCGCACTTTATCAGGGAACAACTCAGAATGAGCAGCCTTAAGGAGGGCACAGCAAGAGCAGTTGGAGAGTGATCACCGTGAGAACCAAACCATGGGGAAGGAAAGCGAGGCCAATCACAGACATCATAAGCACAGCCCTTGGAAAACAAGAAACAGCAGTACAAGGAGGAAGCAATGTGGCACGTAGACCAATTGCTAGGCTGCGAACACAACAAAGGCAAAGCAGCAGCAGAACAGTGTTTTCTGTGTGATTTGTGCTGAGGTGTTATAAGCAGGACAAGTTTAATTGTGGGATAGTCGCCAGCTGGTAAGGACATAAGCATGGCAGCAGAGGATCCATCACCAGGCAATGACTGGTGAAGACACAGCAGACTGAGGCCTGAGAAGACTGAGTACATGCTGTAGTGAACTGCAGAATGTGTGAATTAATGATAGCGCTACAGTTTCTTGTAGTTACAATCTGTAAGCATTCAGTAAATCCAATTACCAATCTGACCCCCTCTGTAATCACTTACACACATGACAATCTCTAATAGTTCATCATTGTATTCACAAAAGCCAACCATCAGGCCCTATCCTCAACCAGCTTCTTTGTGAATCTTCCATCTTCCAAATGTTTTCTCTCTCTCTCAAGCTTTAATATTAAAGTCTCAGTGTATGCAGAAAGTTCAAAATAATGCAGATTTATTCCCATGAGAAATCTTGTCTTGAATTATGCAAAGTCTTCAGGAACACATCCTCGTGTAAAATGCAACCATGCTCTGTATATCTTAGGATCCCTATGCTTACATGTCCAGCTCATCATACACTCTGTTTAACCAACACAGCAATACCAGGTGAAGAACAAAAATTGTGAAGGTTTCCACAATGCAATTTACATCTAAATAGTCTCATCAGTATCCTGTTCTCAAACTCACTTCCAACTAGTGTTGAGGCCAAGGATTTGTGGATTTATACATCCACTCCCCCATATACCTTTACAGTGTAGTGCTTAATTAGTTAAGCACAGGGGAACATTCCCTTTTACCCTCTTCTCAAACACCCTAATCCATATTCTCATTTCAAGATGAGACATTCCATCTTGGCCTGGAAAGTGGCTAACTTACTGAGGTTTTTCATGGTTTTCTTCACACTATATGCCGTGAGCAACTGACAGGTTCATTAAATAAACCATAAAGATGAAATTCAACACCCACAGAAGATGACAAATGAGACAATATTTTTTTTTATAAAACACCTGGAGGGGTACAACATACCTTGAGTGGGCAACATTACATAAACAGAGTGCTATATAATGGTCTCAGGTATGGTGATTTTGTTTCCCCCTGTATGCTGGAAATACAATTTTGTAACTTTCTAGTGATGACATAATGGTCTATGTTGCTATCTAATGGTGGTGTACCTTCAGAGTTGTTTTAGCTAAAGCACACAGTACAGTTTTAATGGAATATACTTACAGCTGACTGAAGGCAGTAGACACAAACTAGGTTGGGGCTTTGGACAAGCATAGAAGCAACAGTATTCAGTCTTCATAATGATAAATTCACAGGACACTGAAAGTGATTAAGAAACTGCATACAGAAATCTTTTGAAATGGGATATACATGTGGGACATTCATAAAATATGTTAATAGTTTCAAAGTGTTACATTTTCATAGCTGTAGTACATGAATAAAGCAAAAACAAAAATGATGACATTTAGAATTTGCATCAGTAAAGTTCCATACATGCATCTTTTGTAATGAGGGAAAATGCTGCATTTGCACACACCAAACACAGATTCATCAAAAGGTCTTCTTTTTGAACATATAGTAGCAATATGGATAACAAACCTTAAAATAAATATTAGCAGTAAACCATAGCTGCAGCTGTTTTGATAGCACCCTGGTAAATTTAGAACAAATAGTAATATTATACTTAACATTACTTAAATCAAAGGGAAGGTAACACATTCATAAGAAGACAAATGTAAAATACTGTTACATAAGAAAGGTAAAGCTGTCCCTGTAACAGGCTGTGGAGGCCCATAGGGTTATGAGACGAGGCTCTCACATATTCCAGACAACTAGCTCAGATGGCAGTGAGGTCAGCCTTATGTGCTGGCCACCCTTTACCCCCAGGAAGATTCCTGGTACTAATTTGTTAGAGGGTGAGTTGATCTTGGAGCCATAATGTGGCTGGAAGGATTAAATCCAATGACATTGGGAACCAATCCTGAGACCTTCCAGCTTGTAGCATAGTACCATATACTTTTGTATATTGTTGCTTAAACTGGACAAATATGATTAAATCAAAGTGGATGATCAGTGGTATGAATTTGGAGCACACATTTATTTTGTAGACTATCTCTGTCTCCGTCAGTGAGTGACGACACTTCAGCTTGTGTTGGAGTCAGCAGCGACG